ATTATAACCTCTGAAAATAACTACGTCTCAACATCAAGCGGGCGCAGTTTTGAATCCAAACTTCCTGAAATCTATTACGAAGCAAATCAATAATTATAACATTTTCAGTCCAATTACACTAAAATTAGTACATAATTCATTACCCAATCTATGGACTGATTGTAAAAATGCATTTTTTTCAATTTGAATGCATTAGGTACAAAGATGACATGCATTAATATTCAAATTTCAATTTTAAAATACACGTGGCATTATTACATCAAGTCCCTACATATCTATTAGTACATTAAATAAATTCATAAAATACGAGACGATCGTATCTTATACTTGTGGAACCCACTTTTTCCACCCAACACAATTACGTGTCAACAACAGACTCAATTGCTCGCTACTGAACTACATTTATCATCGTTCTCTTTGCCTTGATTCAGGGGCTCCTTCAACTCATCAACTGCTATGAACAAAACCATCGAATTCTGTAATGAACCTGCATGTGCCATTCTTCAGAACTACATACATCCTCATGAACTTTTTTGTCACGTGGCCAAAGGCCATGGGCAACTAAGATAGTTGAAAAGGCAGAATTTTCTCTTGAAATTGAAATTTGAATTTCAATTATTTGGGGTGCCTAATTCCTAAATTACTGCCGTGTACTGCTAGATTGCACTAAATTGTGCCACATGGATAAGAATGAGCGGAAACTTAGATTTGAAGAATGAAACTAAGGGTTCGTTTGGTTCTCCATAGAATTGGGGTTTAGAATTGGAATTGGGGTCCCAATTCCAATTCTTCAGTTTGGACACCGGCAATGCCAGAGAATTAGAATTCAATTTGAATTCTACGAGTCATCAATTCCACAAATTCAATTCATTGGTAAGACCTAAGAATTACAGTTCCAATTCCATAATTTCACCTCCTATTCGGGTTAGTACGCGGATCCTAATGGGTAAAAAATTAAAATCGGGTCAACTATGTGAGCAGCCCTCTCTCGCGATCTAATTAGTCACTTTTCCTCAACCGCAAGTGCTTCTTCTGTGCGTCATCCCCTTCACCGCCACCCTAACATTTTGTCTCTTCCACCACCGTCTCCGGCATCGCTCTGCCACGCATCTACCCATCACTTCAGCAATCGCAAGACTGCTCCGAACTGGGTTCTTCAGTCCGGAAGGTAACAACTAAAAGCTCTCCTTTGCCTTCGATTTTTAACTTTGCAGCATTGAATATTGAATTCTGAATTTCTTTGCCTGGCAAAATCTTTGTACAAGAGAGTGATTTGATGTCTTTCTTCAAGAGAGTTTGGTTAATTAATAGGGAATTGGACATCTTAGGGGATTTTCAGGGGCAACAGGGTGAGTGAAGTAAGAGGATTGGATATGTTTTAAGAGTCAGCTTTCGGCGGCTGGTGAGCAGACAGAGTCACATGATGGTTCTGGACATCCGACGATTTGAATTGTGTTGTGGGATTTGGATTATGATCGATATTTGTTTTTTTATTTAAAGAAAAAATAAATTTACTGCTGCTACTTATGAATCGCATTTGCTCCCCTAATATTCGTGAAATTAATTAAATAATAATAATAGCAAATGGAATAGTAGAGGCTTTTTGAAGGATGAGTTGATGAGGATTGAGTGAGTGGCTTACCGCTTACTCTCACGGTAGAAACAGAAGCTTGCGAAGGCTTCTCTTGCTTTCAATTGCAAAAAGTGAGTGTTTTGGGATTCTGATCCTGGATTGCATTATTTACAGACATTCTGCATACAGGGGGCTCTGAATGATTAAAGTAGTTATTTGCCTCTGTATTTGAACTTTTAAGCTTGCTCCTGATGCTGTATTTACATAACATTTCTTGAATTTGACATAAAAAAAAACACTACTAGTATCCAGTTTTTTTCCCCCTTTTGTTTGTGGCTTTGTAATACATTGTTCATGGTTCTTTGTAGATTGAATATTCAAGAGATAATTTCTAGGATCTACATTCACATTACAGGCAGAAAAATTATCTCATTCAAAAACGTTTTGTCTGCAAAAAATTACTGCTACAAGTTTAAAATTTCACTGCATTATAATGATTCGACCTCTAAACATCAGGAAGTGGCCTTGGCTAAGAACCTGACTTCGTGAATCATATCCACATGTTTAAGACTGATGATGGATGAAATGCTGAATCCGAAGCTAAAGTATCCTCCTTCAAGACACTGAGATCATAAACACAGAGAATGCAGATTACACCCTTTTTTTGTGCTTCATATCCTGTATTTTGTGCAAGCAGTGTTCTAGTAAATTATCAATATTCTGCAATGTATATTATTTCTCCATCATCTAGATAAGATTAATGTCTCATATGATTTACGGAAACTTGTTCTTGTTTAATTCTTCTTGGTTTGAAGTACACTAAATTCTTGGTTTGAAGACTCATAGAAGGCTTTAGAAGGATTCTGATGTTTCTCGTAGCCAGTTAGTCTTGTTTCTAGAAAGAAAGCTTTGTCGGGACTTTTCTGTTTCTTTCTTTTGTTGCAGTGTGCTGGAAAATCCTTACCAGTAGAAGCTTTAAGTCACCAGAATAAGTTTAGGACATCTCCAAACTATTTTGTGCACATAAGTGATGATCTTAGCAACATCTCCAAATTGCTTTTGCAAAAAGGTTCCGTCCAAATAAGTCATCATAAGTTCTTCATTTAACATATGTATGGATTTTTCTGGTGCATATTTGCCTCTCACTTTTAGTTCTATAATGCAGTGGCTGTTGAATCTATTCTTAAGAACATGACATTGTGATGTTTTTCTGGTGCATATTTGCCTTAGATATGGCATCTGAAGCAACATCTCAGTAGAAGAAGTTGAGCTGATTGTTGGACGCCCAAGTAGAGAAAGTAGAAGTTGTTACTACTCCATCGTGTATCCATGACTTTTTAAATTCTGATGAGTTCTTTGTTTTTTATGTAATGGATCAAAACAAGATTATAGAAAGATTCTAGGGAGTATTTCAGCTATTTTCTATCTGATTTTTGAGATTATAAGAATGGAACATTGGATATTTTGTCTATTCATAGCAATGTTGCTGCTGTTTATCAGAAGTTTGTTTCTTTTTTTGGCAGAGTATCTTTAGTAGAGAGCCTGGATGGTATTAGAGGGGCCTTTTGACTAGCATGCAGGGGGTGGAAGTTTTAAAATTCTACTGTTCTTTATGCATCTCAGCATGGCCAAACAAGGTCAGATGGATGCCGTGCATTGGGTGGGAAGTGGTGTGGGTTTTTTTTTTGTTGTTGTTTGGGGGGGTGGGTTTGTGTTTGGGTTTGGAAGCATATTAGGTGGGAAAGGAATTAGGAGTCTCTTTGTATTGCTCATTGACGTTCACTCTCCAGACTGGAATTGGCTCAGTTCATGGTTTTCAGTTTCACAAGGTATAAAGCTACCTAAACCAAATGATGCCTGTTGTTTGGATCATGTACTTGCCCAGTCCTTTTTGGTTATTATGGAAATCTTACTACCAGCACAATCATATTGGTATATTTGTACCTGTGCGATAAGAAATTGGCACTCTGAATATTGATTAGTGCTAGATTGGCTGTTTATTGCTGATTTGCTGGCTTTCTGATCATTTTTTTTTTTTTGTAGAAAAGGAACTAATTTGTTTTTTTTTTCTCTAAAGCATTAGTAACAATTAGTTAAATGCAAGAAAAAAATAAATTATTAAAGGCACTAATTGGCTTTTTCCTTAAAGCTTTAGTAACAATTAGCTAAATGTTAAAAAATTATTATATAGTAAAAGAGAAGAATTTTTTTATGTAAGGAAATGTTAGTTGGAAACAATTCTAATTCTTAATAAATTCTTCTCCCATCCAAACAAAGAATTTGGAATTCCAAATGAATTCTATATCAATTCTATGTATTTCCCAAACAAAAGAATTTCAATGTTTTGGAATTCCAATTCATAGAATTCTAATTCTATAGAATTTCAATTCCAATTCTGTTGAACCAAACGCACCCTAAATTGAAAGGACGCGACCACAGTCGTACGCGTGTCTTGGAAGCCTGAATGGTGATGGGTCCTATAACTGAGTGCATTGTAAGGAGTACTAGGAGGCATAACCACGCGTTGCGTGGTGGACTAATTGATAATACAAGTGCCCAATGAAATAAAATTCATGTATATATCATATTAAATTTTATTGTCATTTTAAAGTACATATATTGTACTTTGAAATTGTGTTGATAAACTTTGAAAGCAAATAGATTGTATTGAAGAACATAAATAGTAGTTCCACCAAAACTCATCCAAAACAAAATGCGTATGAACTTAGAATTTAAAAATGCTAATACTACATTTTTTTTTGTTTCATGGAATTAAGGAGAAGCTCAAGGATTTACAATAGTTAAAAATAAACAAACAAATCTCATAGCAGCTTAAAATGATAAGATGACCACTACAAATATGGAAGTTAACAGCTTGAAGGAGCAGAGAAACAATTATTGTATAAAATGTTATCAACTATAAGCACGAAAAAGAGTAGTTCTAAATTTGAAAAAAGAAAAAAAAAAAAAGGAAAATAATCTAGGCAAGATAGCAAGGATTGATAGCAGCTAGACAAATTTTCGAGAGTAGCGAGATTAGGCACACCCATGATTTCTTGGCAAGTTTGTTCATCGTCTACCAAGATTGTTTATTCGACTTATTCGTTTCTTTGTCTTGTACTTTTTCATTATTGCACAAAAAACCCTTTTGGGTTCAACCCAGAAAAGGTGGCCTCAGATAGAGAAACGTGGACTATATCTTGTTTAATATGTTGTATACCGTTGTCAGATAAACAATTGACTGTCGACAACTATAATCAAGAATTGTCAAAGAAATTATCCATTGCATAACGCTTGATCATTTCTTTTCAACTCTATCATAATAAAGGTAATACTCTACCCAATATGGTGACCTGTTTGGCATAGCAATATTGATTACAACACCTATACTCAAGCCTGCACTATCACTTGATACACCATGTTCATCTTTTTTTTTTTTTTCGAATACACCACGTTCATCATTGCAGTGAAAAAAGAAGAGATCATCACTGTGCAACCTTTAAAGTCATATGTCCCATATCTTTTTCACACTGAACATCAAGGCAGAGGATTTGATATCATATTGGGGCACCTGGAGCGTGAACTGAACTTTCATCTTCATGGGAGCTATCTTAGCTTTGCCATCTTCCTCTTCAATCTAAAAACAATGCATTAGAAAGCTCAATTTAGTGAACAAAAGTTTTCACTATTAGAAACGTTGATTAATGATGCAGAAGGAAGCAGAAGACAACCTAAACATACAGTCATAGTTCTTTCCTAATAGGTGTACCATGTACTTCATACATCAACAAAGCAACAGGGAGCTTAGTAAATGGAACTCATGAAGCTCCTTAAACAGTGGCTATTAGTGAAAACAGAAAAAAAATAAAATAATGGCATGATATGGCATCTTGCAGTCTACAGGAGCTAATTTTTTGTCACATACTCAAAATTATGCTGCAGATCTCATCAATTGAAATAGAACATCTATTTCAAGTTGAATTCATTTATTCTTTTTAAGCTTTTTCACATTTGTTCTTTGGTGGGCTGTCTGACAAGTATTATACACAAATATAATATAGAAGATATAGAATAGAAGATAAGTTTTAGTGACTATCTCATGTCTTACTAATTAATAGATCAACAAATTATGCTCAACGAAATAGAATAGAAAAATATTTTATGAAATCCATGCTCACAGTCTCACCAGATAGGGGAAAAAACACAAGTGCAATTTGTTTTATGCTGTAATCTATCTCTAAGATTTTGAGTAAGCCAACTAATTGGGCTCAAGTTGAACATTCACCTATCATTTTAAATAAGTAATTATACTTCGAGTCAATATTCAGGCAATTAAAATAAATATTGCATGCCAAGTTAATGCATAACGCTCAGCAGCCGAAGACAATGAAATTAATGCAAAAAAATAGAACACTTACCCAAAGAGATGTCCACCCTAGTTGCACATCTGGATCATAACCAGTTTTAAATCTGAAGTCCTTGCCAACTCCGTATTTATACACTCTACTCCAATCATTTGAATCAAAATTATACCAGTACTTGTCTATGTGAAAGATCAGAATAAAATAATATATCAATGTGAAAAATCTAAACACAAATATCAATGGGAACGGCAAAAGTTTTGCAGATTACCTCCATCACGTAGTGGCTTTTTTCTCTAGTTAAAAACACATCCCACCTTTTTAAGGTTTACTTATAAGGAATAAGAAACATTTATTTCTATGTCATAATCATCATAAAGTCATAAGAAACTTGGAAGCAATTCCTTATGGACTGTCAAATGATTATACATAGGGTGATAGCATTGTTGCAATAAGCATCACAGGCAAAAATAAAATATGCAAAAAAATAAACAAGAAATCAACCCCTGCTTGCTGGAATTTAGTCAAATTTAGAAAAATGCAAAAATTTTTCATAATGAACAAGCATATTAATCACCGATGCAAAAATACCCTTACAGCATTCTATGATCACCAAAAAAAATTTTGGAGGGTCTGCTTTACAAATGCAGGTAGATACATAGCTAATGAGAAAGGAACACACACCAAAAAGGTACAATGCCACTAACATGGCTAACAAAGAAAAATAACCAAACCAGGAAAACAATGGCCAAAAGAAATGCACATAAAAAGCAAAAACAGGAAAATAAACCAGCGACCACAAGCTTGAGCATTCAACAACTTTACAAATCAAAAAATCAAAAGGATACAGGAATTGCAAAAGACACATACCAAAAAAAGAAAAAATTTCTTTACAGATGAAAAGGGAAAAAACAGATCTAACCAAAAAAAACCACCGCCACTAAGAGAATGAAAATATAAAGTCATAATTTGTCTGATAAGACCTGATGTTCTCTGTGTTGACAAGAAGATAGAAGCAAAATTAGATAAATAAGATTAATGGAATACATAATTTTCCAATTTTTAAGGAAAATAGTAGAGGGACAAACCTTTTTTCTTCTTATACGTGAATCAAAAAGATACTTACAGAACAAAAAGTTTCAAAGTAAAATAAAGAAAAGCAAAACCCACAAAAATACAAAAAACAGAACATAAAAGATGTTTGCTCCAAGGAATGATACTTCAAACATCATTTGCACTTGGTAGGAAAAATTATTATTCTAATCTTTACAAATTGTAGACTGACATATGATCTAAATGCAAAACTTATTCTTTCCTCCTATAATAAATATATGGACCATATAAAACCTAGAAAATTAAAGGAAACAAAAGAAATATACTAAGAATCCAAATAGAGATCAGCGAAGCTAAGAGGAGAAAAAGCAAACGACAAGGTTCAAACCATCATGGAAATTATAACAGCTCATAGCATGCCAATCGAAATCACAAAAGCAAGCTTTCATTTCCCAAAAATGTCATTGATGGCTTGACTAATTGTGAAGCAATATCTCTTTGTCACACTCTTCTAATTTCCTTACTTCATAACGATCCATTGGAACTCACACAAAATAACGTAAAAAATCATAGACCAAACAATAAAATAATTGGAGAGTCTAAGAGGAAATAAACCTGGTGCACTCAAGTGTAGATCTGTTGACCTCAGATATGCGAATAGTCCCAGTAGCAATAACTATTGTTGAGTGCCTGTTGCCAAATAAAAGGCCATAAAATTAGCCCAAAAGAAGCACAAGGATCAACCTATAAAACAAACAAGATAATATCAGACCCCTTCACGTCCTATTATACTAAAAGTAATCAATTCCCTGCCAAACCAATGCAGCTACAGGAATACACCTATCCATAACAGTGTACTCACAGGTAAATACCTTATGCTCAGGTGAACAAACTCGACAGAAGACAACTTTAACATATCAATGGAAATTAGGCAACAAATAATATTCTAAACAAAAAACTACAAATGGCTTAGTTCAGTGCATCAAAGTAGCTATACAATGCGATTCTAATTTGAACATCAAATAAAAAACTTTAGACACCTAACAATAGTGCAACTCATGTCCTGATGCATCTACCTTTCTTGAGGTCATAAAGTGAATTACCTACATTAATATTCTCAAATCAATGTAACAAACCAACCCTTAGTAGTGTACTTTATTGCCTTGAATAAGTGGCGAATCTGAGATTCTTCTCAAGTCTCAAGCCCTAGCTAGTGTTTCACAAGAACATTATATGCAAAAGGAATAAAAATGGAAACTAAGAGGGAAGAAAAATAAGGAATAAGGGAAAAAAGTACACTAAAGAATATGAGAGACCATCAAGAACATAAAAGCAAAGGCCATGGAGTTACTGACAGCAACAAATGGTGAAATTTTGATCACCCTTAGGGTTTGAAATGAGCTCAGTTACGTTAAAAATTGTCTTTTAGATAATTTTTAAAAAAAGACAAAGTTCAAACCGCTCAAAAAATAGGCAAAAAAGTAGAGTAAAGAAGGCAGAGTCATGAAGTTACCTTAATTATGTCAACTGTAGTGGTGGTGGTGGTGAAGCTTTTAAAACCAGTACTATATGAACCTTCTGCAGAAAACCAAGACAAAAGAAAGAGCAGAGGAATCACAATTATGATTAAAACACACCAGTAAAAGAATCTCAAGCCCTAGCTAGTGTTTCACAAGAACATTATATGCAGAAGGAATAAAAATGGAAACTAAGAGGGAAGAAAAATAAGGAATATGGGAAAAAAGTACACTAAAGAGTATCAGAGACCATCAAGAACATAAAAGCAGAGGCCATGGAGTCACCGACAGCAACAAATGGTGGAATTTTGATCACCTGTAGGATTTGAAATGAGCTTAGTTACGTTAAAAATTGTCTTTTAGATAATGTTTAAGAAAAACATAGTTCCCACCGCTCAAAAAATAGGCAAAAAAGTAGAGTAAAGAAGGCAGAGTCATGAAGTTACCTTGCTTATGTCAACTGTAGTGGTGGTGGCGGTGAAGCTTTTAAAACCAGTACTATATGAACCTTCTGCAGAAAACCAAGACAAAAGAAAAAGCAGAGGAATCACGATTACAATTAAAACACCCCAATAAAAGAAGCTCGGCGAGACCGGAAAACAGCACTAAGAAGATGTAACCAAGCTCGCAACCAAGCTGGCCAACGGTGAGAGGAAGGAGCTCAAAAAGGGAGCCGGTTCAAGGGCACAACCAATTTGAGAAAATCGAAATGAGAAAGCAGATGAGAAAACCCTAGGAAAAGGGGGCACAACCAACCTGTCTTGGAATTCGGACGCCAGTAGAAGAGACAGCCATGATATATCACGCCAATTACCATTCTTGAGAAAGGTCTGCCGTTACCTCCGGACAATGCAGCAGCAAGAGCTGGGAAAGGAAAGGAACTGGTGCGGCATCCATTCCAAAGCAGAAAACCATGGGCAGCCCAATTACCCGAACCATTTCAATGGAGCATCTGGAGAAGCGCGAACTTACAAAACTCACGTGAGCGGCACATGACGACGACGAAACCCTTTGGTGCGTTGTATGTTATGTTGATAAGTATGCATTGCGGAGTCAAATGTTGTATTAGAAAATAGAGTGAATGGCTCAAAAGATCACTAAACTATTAAAAATGGCACCCTCTGGTCACTAAACTTTTTTTGTGGCCGAAAAGGTCACTAAACTCGCAAAAACTCTCCAGCGAAGTCATTTTACCGAATTTCAGCGGTTCCTCATCCGATAACAGGGTCAATATGGAGTGGAGGAATATAGTAAAGGAGCAAAAATATCAAACAAAATATGGTCAACCTTTTTTTCTCTCGCAAGTCGTGCCTTAGATCTAGAAATTAGCTGAGTCCTCTTTTCATTTGTTGAAAGACAAATCTTCTCTCATCTATTCAAGGAAAAATCTCCTTCCATTTCATCTTGTCCAATGACTCATGGCAAGACGCAATAAACCGATTCCATTCTGCAAGTGCGGAACTAGAACTATTTTGAAGACCTCATGGACAGAAAGAAATCCAGCGCAAAGATATATTGAATGTGCTCAAAATCAGGTAAGATAATTACTTAATGGATATTTGCGAGTTTACAAGATGGATAAAATGTAAATATTTGTTGCTGCAGGTTAGAGGGTATGGATTTGGGACTGGTATGATGAAGAAATTTGTAAGAGAGCTAAGCAAGTAATACCTGGCCTGTTAAGAAGTAAGAACAAATTAGAAGCTGAGAATGAAGCTCTGCAAAAGGAGGTTCGGGGATGGCAAAGCAAAGCAAACGAGATGCACTGGAGATAAAAAGACTAAAGGAGCAATTGGAAAAAAAACAAAGGACAAGAAAGCTAGCAAAAAGTGTTTTTGTGATTGAGGTGGTTGTTATAGTGTGGTTAATATGGATGCATGAGCCAACAATGCCAAATTCGAAGAGGTTGCAAATTGCTAGTGTATGAAAGAAATGTTGCGAAATACTAGTTTGTAGAATGCAGAGATTTTGGATTGCTGGTATGTACAATGCAATTGTACTTAATGAAGCTAGTAATTGTGTTGACTTTGGATCTTTGAAAATGTTAATTATGAGTTCTGCTGTTGACTAATCAATTAATTTGACAAGAACAATAGCCCATTCCAATGATTAAGTAGTGAATGGCAAATAAAAGAGTCATTGCATTGGATCAGAATTGGTTGTATTACAATAGGTGGACAAAAGGTATGTTTGACTCCCACAAAATGGCAACAAAAACCTATTACATTTTCCTGCCCAATGATCTACAAAAAGATTTACAAAAAGACTACAAAAGTTATTTAACAGTTTATCATTAAGTTGCACGTCCTCTTCCAAATGATCTTCCTGCCCAATTTCCAACCTTGAATGGTGGTTTTTTTCCCAAATATGCATAATTGGCATTGATCGCACCCTTTTCGGCATCCGTCAATTTTCTCTTTTTTTGGACCACCCTTTTCTGCGTATTATCAGTAGATGCAGCCGGACGAGGATCTTTTTGACCTATTTTTGTTCTGGGAGCATCTGGTCGAGTTCGCCGGACCTGATCACAAAAACCAAATAACATTTCACTCAGTTATTCCAAGAACTACAATTACAATATTGTATAACAATAGTTAGAAAGGTTGATAGCTAACAGGGGTCTTTATCTTTCTAATTTGCCTCTTATTAGTTGGACTGGCAATCGTCCTCAACATCTCTGTTGGATTACTAGTGTCACCTTCGGCAGCAACATTTGCTCCTTCCATTGATTGTTGTGCACCTTCTAAAGTTGATGGCTGAACAGCAATATTATCATATTGTTGGAAAAAATTGCCAACTTCAACGTCAACATTTTCAGCATTCTGTTCACCAGATTCATGCATAACACTCTCTTCTCTAGATTTGGGAACAGCATCCTCTTCACTACAACCCGAAGCTACAAATTTGTTTGGTTGGCCAGTTGCATTTTGCTGTCTTAAATGCTCAGTTTCAGCACCATCTTGAGCTTTGCATGTAGCTCGATTATGACCTGCCAAACCACAGTTTCTACAATGCATAACAACATGTTTTTTCATTTTGTGGACAGTTGCATTTTGTGACCCAGAGTGGCTTCTATTCTCTTTAACATCTTTTCTTCTTGCCTTTCTAGGTCTTCCCGCTTGCACACATGGTATTGGGGGGCCTAACACCGGATTTGTACTAGTTGGCCAAAGTGCTTTTCCACTGATAGGGTAGAGGATATTCTCATAAATTTTTAAAAATAGTTCCCTGGAGTAACACCCATCAGTATACATGCACGGGTCCTCATTCATTCTATGAAGTGCTGCAATGGAATGGCAGCATGGCAGGCCACTAACTTGCCATAAGTTACAAGTACATGTTCTTTCTTGTACATATACAGCATATTGTTCCCCTTTAGGCCCTTTGACTTGATAACCCCCATCACCATTTGCCACAGTTTTCCATTTCCTAGACTGTTTTGCCCTCTCTTCAATCAACTCCTTAATAGTTGGACCAACAGCACCAGGGCATTTTTTCATCCAAGCCGCCCTATCTCCTATTCTACCCATTAAATACTCCCTAATTCCTTCCATCATTCCAATAATAGGTAAATCCCTGTATTCTAATATTTTTGCATTAAACGTCTCACAGAGATTATTAACTAACATATCAGATTTAACATGATGAGGAAAGAACGCCTTACACCAATGCTGTGGTGGTGGTGCCCTTTTGACCCATGCATATGCAAGCTGGTCATACTCTTTCAAGTCATCAAGTTCTGCCTCATACAACTCAACAGTTGTAGCTATTGCAATGCTCCATAGTCTATCTTTTAAAATCTGCCCAGGATGTTTTTTCTTGAAATTCCTGTACATGTGTTGAACACAGAATCTGTGTTCACAATATGGAAGAAGTTCCAAAAGTGCACTATCAAGCCCCTACAATAACAAATTGTGAAAAATTGGTCAACTCTAATAAACCAAATAGTAACTAATATCAACAATAATGATAAGATATGAGTGCTTCACCTTTTGTTGGTCCGAAATAAATGTGTAATGACTGCTGGCAGTGGCTATTTGTAAGTCTTTAATCAATAAGCTCAGAAACCAATGCCACTGCTCTCTTTCCTCCTTTTCAACAACAGCCCAAGCAATGGGTCACCATCCATTAATGGGATCTGTCCCAATAGCTGTCAACAATTGTCCCAGATATGCTCCTTTTGTGTGACACCCATCAAGTGCTATAATGGGCCTACAACCCTCATTAAACCCCTTTTTGAGAGGTCCTAAACAGCAATAGAATCTGGTAAATGTAGGTCTCTCATCAGGATCATTTCTCGGATTGTATTGAATGTCAATTGTTGTATTTGGATGGGTCCTCTGTAATTCAGCAGCATATTCCCAAACAAAAGCATATTGTTCTGCTACACTTCCCTTAATATTCTTCCTAGCCTTAGTCCTTGCCTTGTAAGCCATACTTCTACTAATCTCACACTTGTATTGTTCATCCACAGCCTGCCTAATTTGCTTTGCTGGCATATACATATTTGACTTTATTTGATCTTCATATCTGTTTGCCAGCCAAGAGGTAGACATGTGTTTATTTTTCCAGGCATGACTGCAATGATTGTGAACATCATTCAATGTCTTCAAAACAAAATCTGAGTTGTTCAATGCTGGAACTTTAGAAGCATACACAAACCACGGACAGGGTGCCACACATTTTGCCCTCAATCTAGATTTGTCATTTGTGTACATAAATACGGGTCTCCCAGTAAGAATCGAGTAATTCCTAATAGCTTCTCTAAACAGACCCTTACTTCCAAATTTCATACCAACCTCAAATTCAGGATTTTTCATAAACTTCTCCATATCAAAGTTAGTATAATTCATGTTTACCTCTTGGATTTCCTCGTCAGACGACCCATTATTGCTGTTGAGTTCCATCTCCATTCCATCATTCAAAAGTGGATTTTCATTGCTAGCATTGGTTGCCCGTGTTTGCTGTGTAGTTTGGGGGCCACGGTCTTCACTTTCCCGTGTAGTTTCAGCAGCTGTGACATCACCTTTCCATTTGCTGCTCAACCTAGAACTCCTCAAATTTGTAATTTTTGATGCTTGAGTTCCTGCCTGGCTAGGTTGCTCACTTGGCTGCCTTTCACTATCTCCTTCGCCAATATCAATTTCATTTTCTAGCTGCCTTTCACTTGACTCAGCATGAGTTTCATGTGGTTGACCACATTGTGTTGGAGGCTGCTGCATACTTTGTGTTTCATACATTTCATCGTCCCGATAATAATCTGTGTATTGTTCAAATTCCCTCTCGTCACATGTTCCATCCCCATCATCACACTCGCCTCCTTCTCCCTCATTTTCACCATCTCCAGAAGTTGAGTGCAAGCCTGCTGTAATTGTAGGTGCATCACCTTGGTCAATAGCTTCATGCACTGCTTTTTTTTGTATAGTGCTATCCTTCCACTCTAAAGCAGCAAATGATCGTGTACGGAATCTACCCTTTTTCTTCACAGATTTACTATTACACGCATTCATTGTTTGACGTTCCTCCCCATCATCAATTTCCTCAACGATCACTGTAGACTTGTGCACATCCGGTGGCTCTACGATGGTTTTTGTTTGAATTTTTAACACCTCGTCATCTGGAACATGGTCGCATATCACTTCCATCAACTTGAACTGCTCCACCCAACTACAAAACTATCTGATATGCTCGTCAGTTTGGAGTTCTTTCAATCCATTGTTGATATCACTTCTTGGATCAAGATAATAGTACAATATGACATCCTTGTTGTAGCCACACTCTTTCACCATATCATTAATCTCATGCATTGACATTCTATCACCATCACAAAGATCAAAATAGTCTACCTCTGCACCAACATAACTCTTATATTTATCCCCTTCAATTCTACCACCATGCCGCATCTTAACTGTAAATAATGAGCATCCATACTCTGCATCACAAAGATCAAATAGTTGCAGGTATTGTTAATTGATAGATATCCAATCTTTTAATAAAAACTACAATCTGAAATTAATTTTTAAGTCTTCAATACAGGTTCATTTCTAATTCCCACACAAAACCTTAATATTATACCGCAGTTAGTCAACAAATACAATAAAATTCACATTTTTTCTGCCTAATTAATTTAGTTTAACGACATGCGAATGTAGGACCCCTTGTAACCTACTATGACGACAAAAGGGAGGACCATTCTCTCTTGTCCCTTTCATGCCCCCCTTTGTTATATATAAAATAACCCATTAAACCCTAAAACCTCTTCGACATTTTTGCATTTCGTATTAACATTTTCAGACTTTGAACTATCTTTTACCAACATTCTTCTTCACCAAAATAAATTTTTTAATAACTTACCATACATCGTGTACGGGTCAGCATACTCATCCCTCGGTCGCTTCACCCACTTCATTGAAATCACCAGCTTCACAATTTCCTCGGCTACTCTTGTTTTTGAGACGGGTTTAGGCTGTAACTCGAAGAGGTTTGCTATTCTAATTTGGTTTACAGGTGGTCAAAGTCACTTTTTTTACTGCCGGAGAAGACGAAGTCAATCTATGGGTTCAAAAGTGGTTTGGGATTGAGACAATCTATGACTTCACCTATTCCAATAATCTTTCGGACATTTTTGCCCCTTTACTATATTCCTCCACTCCATATTGACCCTGTTACCGGATGAGGAACCGCTGAAATTCGATAAAATCACTTCGCTGGAGAGTTTTTGCGAGTTTAGTGACCTTTTCGGCCACAAAAAAAGTTAGTGACCAGAGGGTGCCATTTTTAATAGTTTAGTGACCTTTTGGGCCATTCACTCTAGAAAATATGGCAGATAAGAGAGATCTGAAAGAATGTTTTATGGTTGTGAAGAAGTGTCGCATGGAATAGGTCATGCTCATGGAATTGCGAAATAGGTCCACAGACGACTCGAGTATCAATATTAATATCGGCAAACTCTCTGTTTCGGTTATGAATTACCCTAGCCATCTCGGACTCGGGCAAAACGGTGAACACTAGCTCCAACCAATCCATGCTGCTAAAGGGGTACAGCTAAGAAGCAAATTTTCTTTTCTCTAAGCTCTTTCAGCAATGGTGAAAATAGTGCCCAAGAAGCATCAAGCCCATAACTTCCAATAAAAGACCTTCTTTCCTCTTCTATTGCATCTAGGAAGTCTTTCATAGGCATGTAGTATTTTGCTTATATACCTTCAAACACAGATCAAAATGTGGAACTAAATTTCCTAAAGATTTGTTACCAACATGTCTATAATCCTTAGTTCTCGGGGAAAAGAGATATCTTCCCACCAAGCTCATTTGGCTTTCTGTTTGAATTAGTGAACTCTTTACGAGAAAAAGCATTCCAAGTGAGATTAAGTACTTAAAAATTTCAAGTCTACTTGGATTTGCCTATTTTTATTTTTGGAGTCTACAATAACACACTCCAAAAACAACTAATCCATACAATCTCAACTACACCTAATAAAAAATAAAAAATTTCCTACCATCACCATCCACCACACAACACCATTCACCATCACCGCCAACCCCCGCCCCCCTCCCTCCTCTCTCTTCCCTCTCCTTCCTCCTCCCCTTTCCTCCCCTCCCCCTTCCCCACACTCTCCTCCCCTCCTCCCCACACAATCCAGTCGTAACATTCGCAGCCCACCCACAATCTAGTTGAGAAGCAACTAGATCTAATCACAACCTGCAATGAGATCGCAGGCCAAGACCAGTCATGGAGAGGGAGAGGGGGAAGGGAAGAGGAATTAAAAGGAGAGATGACGAGGAGGGAGAGAAGAAGGGATTGTGGTGATGCGAGAGAGGGTGATGCAAGTGGTGGGGAAGGACGAAAGGGGTGATGGGTGGTTGGGGTAGGATTTTTTTAAAGAAACAAAATCCAATAAAATTTTAAATTTTAAAAACACCCCGAAATACATCTACAATGTCAATTTTTTTTATGTACAATGTTACAATGTAGTATTTGAAAACAAACGACCCCCCACCCCCAAAAAAAAAAAAAGAAAAACACATAATCCATAGGGAATCTCCAATTTAAGCAAGAGGTTTAGTGATTGTCTGTGAGATGTAATATGAACATAATTTGTGAGCAAATAATTGGAGGAAAAAATATACTGCATCCAAAGTGATATTTGAAACAGCAGAAAACTTTTAAATTTAGACAATGATACAATAAAAGTATTCAACAGCGCATCATAGTTTGAAGAAATTGACATGTAATAGCATCATCAACCTCTTACCTAAAGAAGATTAAGTCATCCCAATCCAGTCTCATTCCAAGACCTGCAACTTAGTTGTTGATCTTTAAATATACAGCGTCATGTGGTTGTGACCGAAGCACTAGCTCATTTATAGCCTTATCCAAGTCAGTTCAAAACTTTTTCATGTAAAAATTACTAGGACATGCATAAACTAGACTCCAATCTCAGCTCTAAGGTTTCAAAGGGACAATTGTCAGAACGCTTTGCTATACAGATCTCTATGTAGAATCCATTTGTTTAAGGACAAATATTTACTTACTTTTGCTATGGAGAGATTTGCCTGCCGTTAGCAGGAATGGAACTCTATCCAGCAAGCATTGTGAAAAAAAGTAGAGTAGCAGCAGCAGAGGTAGGAGTGTGTCCTCTGGCACAGTTTCATTGTCTGTATGTCCTGGATAGGATCTACTATCTTTGTTATTGCCCTTATACTGGCCAACAATCACATCTACCTCCAGTGTCCTCCATGATCTCAAAACCTTGAGCTGAACCTACAATGCTAATACTACTACACATTTATTTTGTTCCACGGGGTTTTCCCTATTTGCCCTTTTTGAAGATTTCAAAGGCTTTTGAGAGTTTTTCTTAACATGAAAGGGAAGGTGGAGTACTAAAATTTTGTTCTCATAAGCCAATTTGCAAAAAGAAAATGCAAAGTAACAGAATAGCAAATTCAATTGGGCAAGTGATCTTTCCAAGACAGACAAACATAAAGTTGAATACCTTTTGATTTCTAAAGGCGGCATCCAAGCTTGCTAGTGTCTACATTGCAAACAAAGCTAATATTTGAAACAAATGATTTTGCATGATATCTTCTATAATCCCTTAGTTGTCAAAGTATCTAGAATCCAAGCATTAGCAATTTTGCTTTAATCCTTGGAAGGGTAATTTTATTTCACTTTGTTTAATCAGAAGGAAACATGAGAAACTCACCCTCCTCATCCCTGGGTACTAGGGAAGATAAATTGCTCATTGCTTATGTAAATTCTAGACCAAACAGGCTCCAAAACCAGATTTGAGAATTGAACCACTAGCAGATTCTCAGCAGCTTCCTTTTCCAGCTAATGGTCAATTCTGAACAAAAGTCAACAAACTTGAATTAATCATCCACTGTAAATGATTTAGGCTTGTTACAAGATGGTGCTATTAAGCCTACCAAAATATTTGATCCTCAGATAGATACCACATTAGACATATCATTAGTTCTCTACAGGACTCTGAATCACGACCAAAAGCCTTTTCCACAATGACCCTTGTCATCCACTTTTTGAAGAAGCTTTAATGCCAGCACATTTCACCACATCCACAAACATGTTTGGAGGTATTGATAAATAAAATAACTTATTTAACAGACCATCACCCTGAGTAGGAAGTATATGAATATACTATTGTCAACATTCCACGTCTAAGAACTGGTTTCCAACCTTTCCCAGATGCAAAAAAAAAAAAAAAAAAAAAAATAGAGGAGATTCAAAGAGAACTGGCTACTGGAAAAGATCAAATAACAAAAAAACAAATATGCCTTGCCAATTTTGCCAAAAGTTCAGTGACAAGGATTTAACTTACAGAATTGGGTAATTGAACATACAGTAGATACACAAAAACTTCAAATATATCAAACTACCCACCCACATTTATGGAGGCAAACCAAAATACAAGGTTTTCAAACAAGAAAACAGCAAGCAGAAACATGAATGTGACGTTATCTTTAGTTTTTCTGGGCAAGTCTATTGAACCTACAGAATCCTAAAAGAAGCATCATTGCATATCAACTCATCCTTCTGTACAACGCATAGTTAAAGGTAACTACTTGTAGTAATAGCAAATGATCACATTTGAGCTCAGAATCTATCAAACAAGACATGCACAGAAATAGAAAATCAGAAGGATGAAAACAATAAGCACACATGACAACAACAAAGCCAAAATTTGGTCTTCAAGACCATTCTATAATGTGAAACTGCAATGCATAATGTTGACTAAGCTAATGTCCAAGGATGCAACAACATTAGCAGCTTTTCCAGAAAATATTTCAAAAGACTGATAATTTACTATAACTTTGCACTTTTATGGAAATCTACTTTCTCAGATGCTCAATGTATGAATCTTTGATGGCACTAAAGGCATGTTTACGCCATTATACGCCATCAATAGAGAAAATGATTAGCTCACATTTGTTCTATTATGCTTCATCAAACATTATTGCATATAAAGAATTTCACCCAAACTACCTTTTTTTTATAACATAAACTATTAAAATTTTGTTGATAGATAAAAGCATGCAAATCAAATCAGGTCTTTAGCCAAGAACAGGCATCACCTCTTTCTCTTTGAGCTTGCATTCCCGTTCTGCAAAGGTGCCCTCCAAACTGTCATAGTAACATTTCATAAGAAGTTGTTCCATTTTGTCCTTGCAATTTTCTCTGGAAGTTTTTTAACCACAAGTTAATGGAAAGTAAATTATCAGAATATATACTAAACTTTAGAATTCTTTCATCAAGTACACGCACCTTTTGTCAACTTCTACATGTCAAGGCTGTGCTAATTATGCTTCTCAGCTCCTCATCAGTTATTTTGGTCCGAGCATAACCAAAGACAATGAAGTTTTGCACAATTATGGTTAGCAAACAACATTCGGGAACAGGTTTACCAGACCGTGTGACAATAATAATTACGTTCTCTACTATCTAGGCCTTGAAAATCTTAGATGACCAAATAAACGAAAATCAATACAGAAATGGAAGCTCAGGTAGAAAATCTTCATAAAAAGGAGCACATACTGCAGAAAAAATCTTCTTCTTGGAAAGTGCCCCCTGAAGCACCAACAGTTATGCTGAGAGTGGTCTCTGCTTCTCAGGCTTTGGAAAAGGTAGTTTTTCTGCAAAGGGCTTTGACATTCAACTTTCTCAACAAATCCACGTGTCCATGTAGGAGAAACCAAATTGAAAAATTACAAAAGCAGGAAATTGTTAAGAGCAATCCAGTAAATGGGGCATTGAAGTTTAAATCATCGAGAAATCAATAAAACCATTTAAAAACACATCAATTTGGTGATATCAATAGTCAATGGAAGGGATTGGTAGAATATTCGACCAAATGACATAACTGTAGACTTCCCAACATTGTACAAATCCTTATCGATTTCCTCAATAAATACTAGTACATCTATTATAAAGTCCTTATCCACACTTATTTCTGCAATCAATTTTTTCTAGATCTTCCACTTTAGTGTTTCAGTTTCGAAATTGATCACAAATTAAACTCCTTTTTCTAGTTTACTAGTACAATTCTTGTTTTTTTTCCTCTTCCCCGGAATCTGCTTTATAAGAAAAGAACTTCACTTGCTTAACTAGCACTAAAGTAAGCCAAAAATGACATAAAGACAACTAATATTCTAAATGATACAGATATTTTATCTTAGTTTTGGATAAAATATGGACTAAATGCTAACATGAACAACCAAGAAATGCAGCAATAGAGCTTAACCAATTAAAGATAAAGTTGTACAGGTTTCTAGCATTAAAATAGTACCAAAAAGGTAAATATATATATACACACACACACACACACACTCACCATTTTGCAAAGAAACTGCATTTAGAGGGTAGCCATTGGAGGAATTGAGCTCAGAAAGCTTTCTTGGATGGATTCTCGAAAAATTTTTGGAGACCCAAGAAGAGGAGAGGGTTTGGTAAGATATAGTGTAGTGCTCTGATGTGAACGAGATTGTGGATCATGAAGAGGAGGAAGGATAGCAGAGCAGCCACATAGATTTCTGGAACAGTCCATTTTGCTACCAGACTCTTGGAGCTTCGAAACCCAGTAAATGTAGAGTAGTTCACACATACCAGATAAATAAATACATTGTGTATGTAATATCTTACTTCTGCACTTTTACATGCTACAATCCTAAATAATAATTACAGCAATCAAATTATCTACAACTTAATACAAACAGTACACGAGATAGTTAAAATTGTTATTCGGTACAAGGAGTCACAGGACTAGCAGGATCAAACATTGAAAACTCCCCTTAAAACTCCTAAAACTCGGTCTGCAATTTCCTGCCCAAACAATCTTGGAATGTTGGTGCCAAGATCAATCTCAATAGTCTTTGTCTTCGTAATTAGATCCCTTTTTTCCAAGTAAGCCATCTCAGCCTCTCCCACTTCTTTATCCACAGATGCACACAAACTTAACCATACCTCGATCATTTCATTAGCAATAGGACTCAAATTATCTCGAATTATCTCGTCTATTCTCGTTATTTCACCAGCTTCAGCTTCTATGCGAACAAGAATAGCTGTTGGAGAGATAAGAGCTCGGATATACAGAGAAGGGGAAGAGTAAGGCGTTACCTCAGGCAGCTTCTCAAGAAGTTGCCTGTGCCTGTCCAATTCAGTGTCCTCGTAAAATGTCTTGAGGTATTCAGGATATAGGACAAGATCTTTTCTTGGAGGCATATCAAGAATGAGAACCAGAGATGTTGGAGTACTCTGGATCACCTCAATTAAAAAATTTGGGGCATTAGTTGAGGGTTTCAAATAGGTTGAAAGGCTAGCTATGTTCAAGGCTCCTCCGGATGGCAGCTTGCAGTTAATCCAGCTTCCCAATATAAAATCAACCTAATTGATGCAGAATTTCTTAAAGAGTAATTAGTACGATAAAATCAATAAAAGAGAGTAATTTCTCAAGTCAAATTATAAGAGCTTGTTAAAGATATAATGGATAACAAATACAGTGTGATACAAAGTGACACGCAAACTTTAATTCAATACCTCACCTGTAACTTTATCCTTTTTTTTCAGTCATTTATCAGGAAGATATCCCAAACAGATGTTACTTATTTTGTAAACAAAACACATGCTTGGCAGAATTTCTTCTTTTTTTGAAAAAATGATCTGATAGAGTCCAGAATATGCAACAGAGAATGATTCATCATTTTTTGATAAATATTTGAAAACAGAAACAGACAAGGCCAATTTCCAAACAAGAGCCAGACCAACACAAGAAGGTAAGAAAAAGTCCATTGCCATATCGAGCACCATGGATTGAAGCACATTTATTCACTCAGACTCTGAAAAACTGAGCGCTCAAGCCTCAAAGCTGTTACTTTTGGAGGAAATTCATCCAATTACACATGAATTGATCATGGAAAACCTAATAGAAGACGTTCTTTAATAATACATGTTCAATCAAGGTGACCAAGAAATATTTGCTTTAACAGTCACAATTTATGCATTACCGAAAATGCAGTTAAGAGCCTCTAAATACCGATAACGTCAAATTTCTTGACAATGTCTTAGCTTATCTAAACAAGTACTGCTTTAGAATTTATCACTTTCTGTGTTAGCTATGGGACATTTTCTTCCTAACAACCTATAGAATTAATCTCTGAAACAATTTCAAGTCTGTATCGGATGAGATAACATTCAGCATGATGACCAAGAAAGCATCGACTTATACAAGCACGAGAGAAGGAAACCATCGTATTCTTCATCAATGTGAACCCAAAAATAATGTATTGGGTACCAATGAGCAAGATGATTACAAACACGTGCTTATATAAGTACGAGCTTTCTTGACCATGATTTTGAATCTTAACTCATAACCAGCTCATAAATCTTGACAACATAAACTCTAAATCTTGATGCTTTCATGACCATTGTCTGTGACGAATCAAGATCAAACCCTCCACAAGATCCAGCAACTTAGTCTCCAACTCTATAGAAAATCATCGAATTCTTTAACAAAACCAAGCATAAAGCCTAGGGAAATTGCTCTTGGCTTGCTTTATACTAGGTAGAGCAATTTTAAACAAATCACTTGTATGCGGTTCTCAAATAAGGCACCATTTCTCAACAAAATAAAAAACTACCACAATCTAAATTGTCAGCTTCAAACAAATTTATCAGCTTAAAAATATATATTGAGCAATTAGAGACAAAGTTATCAAGACTTCACCAGCCCATCACTAATTCTAACCAGGAAAAGTTACAATAAAAAGAAAAAGCCAAGAAAAAAGGCATCTTGGGCGTTTTATAGAAGACTAGAAAGGGGAGGATAAATTTCAGAAAATACAGTACAGGGGAAGAGGGAATGGCGGATCTGACAAAGACGGTGCCTTCAGCATTGCCATTGGGGTTCTGATAGTACTGCACATCAGGTGGAAGAGAACAAGGGAGAAGAGAAGAGCCCAGATGGGTTTCTACCGAAGATACAAGTCCCAGCATTAGGTCCCTGATTGGGGCGGATACATGTGGGAATTCCATGAATTTGGTCTGAGGATCCATTCTTGGTGATGATGAAGATGATGATAGGCAGGATACACGGGTTCTGACGACGGTTGTAGAAGATGGGTTTGCAGGATAAGGTCGAAGAGAAGATGGGACTGTGTGAGTTGAGTGTAGAAAGTTGGTACATATGTGAACAGCCATAGCCATAATTGGAGTTTTACTCTGCTATTTGCGTTTTTATTCCATCAGTGTTGTAAACCAATAAATGGAATGGAATTGAAAAACTGTGAGTTATGAAAGGGAAAAACCTGTCTCGGGGAGTCTGGGGGGTCTTTACTTCTTAGCAGCAGGGCACCCTGTGGGGTTAAGTTCCCACATCGCTTGGGGGGGTTTGGGGGGTTTAGTAGTTAAGTGCTTAGCAGCAGGGCACCCTATGGGGTTAAATTCCCACATCGCTTGGGGGGGGTTTGGGGGGTTTAGTAGTTAAGTGCTGCGGAACACTTCAAAAGTTGCCGGCTTTTGAAGTGTCTTCGCAGGGTCCATTTATCGAAACACTCATACAAAAAACTGTGAGTTATGAAAGGGAATGGAATTGAAACTTTAGGCTATCAAACTCAAATTCAAATTTTTGGACTCAATCCGGTACGAGCATAAAAATTTAGGATGCGATAATTTTGGAAACCTCTTCAACCTTTCTCATAAAATCACTCAAATCCCTTGAGATTTTTAAAATTTTACTTACCCTCCAACAACTTAACAATACCAAGGCCCTTTTTAGGCAAATTTGTTTGTTACTAATTTTTTAACAACTTTTACTCAGGAACCCCAAAAACTTCAAACAAAACTTTCGTAGCCCCTTTCCGAAACTTTTAAGAAAACGACGTCGTTTTGGCATTTTTTTTCCCTTTGACTTCTCGACAAAACAGTAGACTCTTCCTCTTGTTTTTCTTTCGTTGCATAGAAGGCTAGGGCTCTTTGCGTAGTTCTCCGGAGTCGACCAAGCAATACGTCAAAGTGTGCAACTGATCGGAGCAAATAGAAGCGGCGGGATTATTTTTTTCTTGGTGAAATCCATTCGGTGTGCTTGATTGGTCCACTGAAGGTTTAGAAACTGGGCTCTTGCAATCCCATCCGGCACTCCGGCGGTGGCTGATTCATCCCCTCCACCACGCTCCGCCCTGCAAGAAATGGCTGTTGTTGTTCCCAAAGGAAGACTGTTGTGCTAATTTTAGGTGCATTCCCTTCTAACTCAACTATTGAATTGAGCTCAGCATTTTTTAGTTCCCCAATATTTTTTTTTACGCAGCATATAGTCAACAATTCATGGCAATATTTATTGATTACTCCCTCTATATTAGATACTAGTGAAGGATTATTGGCGGTTTTGTTATTAAATATGCTAATTTTTTGGGTTTAGGCTGCTGAGTTAATTAATTAGAAGGCAATTTGATTGGAGTAGTATATTAAGGATGTTTTCGAAGCTAGAATCTCTACCACAGTTTTTCTCTTTTGCTACTCTTTAAATTCTATATATGATGTGTGTCCGTGTGTTTGTCCTCAAAATGTGGCCGTGTGTCTGACGTCAGAGTTTGCTGGAATCGTCAGAGTTTGTTTGTTCCATTATTTGCAAAAGCTATTGCTTCTTTTCTTCCTTAGAGGATTGAATAACAATTTGACGGTACTGATTGTTGTATACTTAGGTTATTGTAAGTAACCTTAAGTAGAGATACGACAGAGATAGACAAATGACTTATCTTGGGGCTTTGGTAGCAGTTTTATCTTGGGGCTCCATATTGGGGCTTTGGTAGCAGACTCGAGCAAGCTTTGATGGCGGTATACATTTTAACTTTAGACAATCTCAAGTCATTGAAATTCAAATTGGTTGTATACTGGATCCTTAGGATTCTATTGGTAATGATTATTAAAATTTATTCGTTACGCCACTGCTAGGACCTCAAGTTAGATGGCATTGTCACTTGTATCCAAAGATTGAAATCTACTAAATGATATTCACATGACAGATCTTTTATAAACTTGAATCAGTTGTGTTGGCAACTTTTGTAACAACGTTCAATATCTTAACTAAAGAAACCAAATAGCACCAGAAGATATAGGCCTAAAACAAAGAGGGGTTGCCTGCCATATCAAAATACAATCTAAGAGCCTACATTGAGGGAGTAATGTTGAATTTTCTAGATAAGATTCCTGATGCTGAAATCTATCCAACCCCTAAACTGCACACCTGTTATATAGGAACAGTGAAAAAATAGTTTATTATTCATAAACTGATATAACCCCTCGTAGTTTGGAAGAGTTTACTGTTCTTATGCTAGCTCAGTTTTGTGGCAACATGTTCTCATTTTGTCCTGACTGCCTTAATGGTTTAAGAACTTTTCATCCTTCTGAATTTTGGTATTCTTTTCATTGTTTTCCTTCATACTTCAAACTGTCCTTTTTTCTGAGTTGGTTGTGTCTTTTATATGAGGTTGGAGCAATGATTGCTAAATTTGTTATGGGAACATCTCACTGATTCGGATGGTATTCGGATTGGGATTTGATGAAATAAGTTAGCCTTTCTAGTTGGGATTCGGATGCTATTCATTATGTGAACATCTTGCTTCTGTGGTCCAATTTTATAGATCCCAGGCATTTGTCTTTTAATTCTTTTCTTCCAGTTGGGTACAAAATAGCAAACATATATAAAGTGCCTTTTAAACATCTGAAAATGCAAAGATACACAGATGGTTTCTGTTTTAGTTGTTATGGGCAATAAGGAATTCCATTGTTCGTCTTTCAAAATATGATGTTGTGAAGATGGACAATAATCCAGAATTTGTACAACATTTCTCTTCAAAAGAGTCTGCCTCTGAACTTGAGTTCTGCTTATTTTTCTTGTTTCTTGGCTAAATATCTGATATTTCAGTACATCTCTATTAGACTTTCTGAAGCAGGTTTTGAGAGCCTTCTAATTCACTGCAAAACATCACCTGATTATGAGGGAGTCGTTCAAACAAATCTTTCTAAGTGTTGTAGGAGTTTAATTCTTTTTTGAATTGAATTTGGTCTATTAATTTTGCTTTGGTTTAATTAATCCATGAGTAGTAGTAATATTTTTTATGACTTCATTTGATTCGAGAAAGATAGGGAGTTAGCGGAATTAGTTAAAATCTATGTCTGCTTTTTAATATTTTGAATGTGGAATTTCATTTCTTTATTTAGCGTAGTTTTCTGTTTTATTATAGAAACAAGTAATTAAGCTGAATTCCAAAATTTGAAAAATAGGCATACATTCTTTTGTTAATAGGTTTATGCCACCGCGTACTAGATCCATTTCTAGAGGTTTGTTTTGGGGATTTCTTTTTTTGGCTTTGCATGTTGGACTGTTAAGAATTGTAAGGGCTAATTTTCACTTTCGCTCGCAGTCGAAAACTTCATACTTCTTGATCCTGTGAGTGCTGCTTGGTCCGAGTGTGAAGAGAACGACTTACAACTTTGTATCACTAATTATTTTAAGATATTATTCTGTGTGTCTCTTTTTCCAACCCCGTCACTAATTAATTCAAGGTATTATTTTGTGTATCCCGTGTTCATGGCCTCGTATGTTGTTTATTGGTATTATTTACACATGTTCTTCACTTGTATTGCCAAAATTGCTATATATGCTGTGAAAATAGATGCATAACTTCCTCATGCATCCTTAATGGCCAACGTTTGCTAATACATTTGTCCTACATAAAGTGTAAAAACCAATAGTTGGTAAGGCTGTTTCACCAAGGCAAGGTCACGTCCAATTTCCAATGGAGAGAGAACTTGAATTTGCGGAGCACTTGGTCGAATTTAAATGAGCTAATAGAATGAACAAGGGCAACCTAAACAATGAGATCTTCCTGGCAATTGTTGATAAATTTGCCAAAAAAGGATATCACTTTGATCCATCTCAAATCAAGGCGAAGTATTATGCATTACGCCACATGACACAAGAATGCAATCGCATACGATTGAAGGTGACTGGGGCCGGATGGGATCCCCTCCTACAGATTGTAACCATGAACGAAAGCAAATGGCAAGCTGTGATTAAGGTTGAAAATTAATTTTTTCTGTTGTATTACATAAGCTTTTACTGCTCATACAAGTTTTTTTTAGCCTACATCTTATGTTCTTTTTGGTGTTAAATGTGTAGGAGAATCTATCCTTTGAGAGTTACCACAATAGAGACTGCCGTGTCTTCTACATATTGTCGGAGGTGTTTGACAAAATGGATGTCTAGGGGCGATATGCAAGAGATTCAAACTAACCACCAGTTAACATCAATGCTGAGATAAAAGCGAGACAAAGTCAACCACCTAACAATATGGGTGGACAAGGTCTGGAACACGTGGACTTGACTGACGATATGAACCTGCATATGCGGTCAATTAGAAAATCGGATGCCAAACATTTAAAAGGCAAAGGGAAAAGGAAGACTCCGGAATCTTCATCTGCCAGAGATCAAGACGGCGACCTCCCGTTTGGTCTAAGTAGCACTTCCAATAATAATGCAATATCTTGGATAGATGCGACATTTGCTTCCGATCGGAGCACGTCCCAAAGCATAGATGCCCCACCTGCTACTACTCTTGCTCCTACTCCTCCTCCAATTTACTTGGATAATGACCCTTACTCAATGGCAAAGGCAGATGAAGCCTTAGGAAAAATAGAAGACTTGCCAGATAAAATAGTGGTCATAGTAGCTTTCCAGTTGGCTGATTCCGCTGCCCATCGGAGGATATTTTTGAGTTAGAAGAGTGAGACTAGGAAGCGATTAAATGCATTGAAAATTGGGGGGGCGAACTACATAACTGAGACCTGCATGTGCCTAGGGGAGTTAACCACCAGTTGGAAGGCTTTGATTGCATGTATTAATGTAATAGATTTTTATTTATGATTGGAAGATGCTTGCTTTCCCTGTTAGGACAAGAATTTGCACTGTCGTTGTGTTAATACGTAGTTTGGATTATTTTAAGACTTACCATAATATTTCTCCATTTCAAATATTTGACTTGTTCATGGCGAATAACAAATACGAGTTTTACTTCAATATAAGAGTAGTTTCTGAGTTCTGATCTTTCTTGTTATGGTTCATTTGGTGCTTATCCATCACTTTTTTTCAATGTGCAGGTGTATTGCCCAAACAGAGCATAAATGGCTAGGGCTCCGCCTAA